GATGCACGGATAATCGAGGGGGATGAGTACGGCCCCTACGACAATCGAGAAGAGCTTGAGTACTACTATGACCCCCAGCAGGGACCTGATACCCAATACTACCAGGACTATCATCCCGAGCGGAACAACTACAGTGGTCCTGGTGAGGAAATGTATCATGAGGGACAGCAGCAGAATCAGCCCAGAGAACGATCTTACTACTATTCGGAACTACAGCCTGTGCAGCCTGCTTCCACGCAGCCCAGATTTAAATCCAACAATCCATTCGCGAAGATGATGTCCCCCCAGTGAACTCCAGTGAAAGACTTTGAGCCGGGCTGTTATGTTCTGTTATATTTGTTGATTTTCATTGGAATCCTGGTCATTTTATTACCTGTACTGTACCATTGTCAATGTACTACGTTTATTCTTGCATGATTCAGAATCAGACCTGCAGATCTGTACGCAGCTTGATAAGAATAAATTCATCGTGCGCGCCTCCGTCACGGGGCAGTGCCGGCAATTCTCCGGCGGTCTCGAACCGCTTGCAACGTTTCTTTGCCTACCACTACAACAGCAGATTCCTCCTTCGTCCAATTTCGTTCGGATCGTTTACATTACTCTCTCTGAATCTCTACCTTACCCGGTCACTTTACTCGAAGAAGGAATATGGAAGGCTGGAAAACTCTACAAAGCGGTTTCGCTAATCTGAACCTCGGTCAAAGCGCGAACAAATTCACGAAGGGCTTTCAGTCAAGCGTTCAGGCTACTAAGGAAAGGCTTGGCCAGGTCTCTCAAGATGAAATTACTGAGCTGCCTCAAGGTTCGTGTCGAGTTTGTCAATCAAATGATTTTGTTAAATTGACATGTCATCGCAGAGTATAAGGATCTTGAAGCTCGAGTAGATGCTCTCAGAAATGCACACCTTGCAATGTTGAAGTACGTACAGGTCATCTTTGTGTAAACCTAGTCTGATAAATTGGTCCAGAATCACAAAGGTATGGCAGCAAACCAAAGCTGTTGTTCTTTATATAATCCGTGTAATTCCAGGTATATGAAACCGAGGCCTACGATTACCCTGTACAAATCCAGGAATCCATTTCCGAGCTCTCCAATACTATCGGCACTGGTTTCCAGCACTTTGCTGCCACTAACCTGAAAGGCACTCCTCTTTCTCCTGGTGCCGCTCCTACTCGTCCTCCCCTTGAGACTCCGCACAAAACCCTTCCTCATGCTCTCACTCGCGCCTCCCATACGGCCTCACAACTCCTCGTCTCAACTCCAGCCGGAGACTCCAGTAAACTCGGTAAAGCGCTTGCTATGTATGCTCAGGCAAATGAAACTATTTCCAACGCCCGTATTCATCATGATAACGCCGTCCAGGAGGGGTATCTTCACCCTTGGCAGACGACGTTGAGCACCAGCATCAATGTTGCTATGAAGGCCAGGCAGGCAGTCCGGACGAGTAGGTTGGAGTTGGATGCGGCTAAGCAAGGGTGCGTTTGAACTTGCCCATCAAGTCACTAAGAACAGCAACTTATATTTTTTGAATAGCCTCAAGACCGCATCTCCCGCCCGTCAAGAGCAAGCTCGTCTGGAAGTCGAGAACGCCGAGGACGACCTTGTTCAGAAGACCGAAGTCGCGATAACCTTAATGAAGACCGTTTTGGAAAATGTATGGTATTTTATTTGCCTTCGTTCTATGTTGGCCTCACCTTTTTTTCTCAGCCTGAACCTCTCAAGAATTTGAACGAGCTCGTCAAAGCTCAGGTAAGACGTTTTCTTTGAAATCACTGAGACGACATCTGTTAAATATTAATATTTTATTCGCCAGCTCGTTTTCTTCAGTACTGCTGCGGAAGCCTTGTCCGGTGTCCAGGGTGAGATCGAAGAGCTCAGCGTCGCTGCCGAAGGCGAATATAGGTAAGCCTTTCGCCACGCTATGTAGTAGTTGTACTGCATTGCTAACTCCCTATCGATCTTTCGTACCAGAAAGTCCCGCGACCACTGAGGTGCCTTTGTGAATCGGATCGGCCAGAGATGAGTGGTGTTGATTAAGATGCTGTTGATCAACAATTGACGGACACTGTTGTGCTAAATGCTGAATGACCTTTCTGAATGAATACGGGGCTCGTTGGTAGTCTCTTGTGTGCAGTGTACGTACGTCTTTCGGTTATACATTCTCTTTCATTTGATACATTATGTACCAATTTCAAAGTATCAGTTCATTTTTTCTCCTTCTGTGCAACGACGATATGCTATTAAATCACTATCATGGTCCCTCAGGGCACGCCACGGATTTGAGATACCAAAAAATCAGATTGTATGTAGTCCATATTGTCAAATCCTCAAGCAATCAACACCCCTCTCGATCTCTCATCCACCAAAACCAACCTTGCTCCTCTGAGTAAGCAGTACTTGGGTTTCTTCCTTTTGGGTCTACCTTCGCCTTCCGAGTTCTCTGTCGCTTTTGAATATACTGAGCTCGGTGATGAGGTCACTCCAGACTCCCTAGATTGTTCGAAGAACTCGGCTTTCTCGGACTGCTCCAGGTGGACGGATTGTTCCTCGTTGGAACCCAAGCGGAAGGTAAACAAATCCAAGGCACGTCTGAGATGCATCGAGATTCTCGCGTCGTGATACACTTTGAAGTAGTCGCAATCGCGCAGCGACGAGCTGGCCCCAGAAGTTGTACTTGATTGGCCAGACTGCGACAACGACTCGGCTACATGGAGCCCTTGATGTGCATCGGGCGAGCCCAATGATGATAAATTTTCCTTCTCCCTCCTGAGTCGCAATAAAGCACTTTGAGCAGGTTGGAAAGATATTCCGAGCGATCCAAGTTTATTCAAATCTCTGAGTGTATTCAAATATTTCCAAAACTCCTTCAAGGCGAAATGGGACCATTTTATTGTCGAGCCTGTGGTTGTCATTTCCAAAGAAAAGCCAGGCTCTTGCGGATCAAGAACGACAGCTGAGCTTGCGCCTGATTCACTCCAAGCAGAAGGCAGATAGCCTCGAGCAGGGATGATCCAGGCTCTGCGGCTGAAATCATCGTTTGTCGACGGAAGGGGGCCTGTATAAGGAGGTAGGAAGATTGTTTGTGCTCTGTCGTAGGCTTGTATAGCGTCAAATCTAGGAGGTATGAAGGATTTGGAGAGTTGTATATGCGGCTAAGGTTAAGTCGCATCAGCTCGCCATGAACTATACGATGCTAATCAAGTTGAGTGACACACCTGCGGTATAACACGGAGCAGAGAGTCACTATCGAGGCGAAGAATTTTCTTACTAGGCTTGTCTCGGTCGAAATCTTCCGAATGCTCAGAGTCCAATGGAAGACTCCGTTTCTTTGCTTGAAATTGCGACCCGTTATCGTAGGTAATGCAAAGCAAGCCACTGAGATCAGTAGATTCGAATTCTTCTAATTCGTCTAAAGCGTAAATTTCCTCGTCCGTTGGTGGTTCAAGCCAGTCTCTGAGTGCCTTCGTTACTACAGGAGCGGTCACAGGTATGATAGCTGGAGGTGGAGGTTGGGAAAGAGTGACGATTCGGGAAGCTAATACGCGTCAAGTGAGCGAGTGTGAAGAAGAGAAAGTCGTGGTGGTACACACAGATGATTAATGCGGGTGTATTGTACCGGGCCTTTATTTCTACATTATGCCAGATTTTCTCGGTTCTGACTTGTTGCACTAAATTCGCTCCTTCTCGTAATAAAACCTTGTCCACTGTTTGGGTAAAATTCGAAGGGGTGCCATATTGGATGTGGTGTACAATATACTGTGGCTGATGCTGAGCATCGTAATATAGTTGTGCATGTGTAGTTTCTTCCATAGTTTGATGGAGGTCGATAACCAGTCACATTTCTGAAGCGGAGTTGCGTGAGATGGGGTCAAAAGAGTCGCGTCTTGTCCTGGTCTTGTCGCGGTCCAAGTTGCTCAATTAAGCGCTCAAGCCGGCACGGTAATCCGAGCTGTCTGAATTTGGAAGATCAACGTGCACGTATGCTCCTCATTAACGTCCACAACAATCTCAAGGAGGCTTTGAATTGAGAAGATGGTAATTTCTTCAAGGCATTTCTCTAATATCTGCCCCTATGCTCACCCTGCGCTGTGTCTAGTCTGCTCTCTTCAATTTTCAATCTCTGCTTCTGGTCATTCTCCTGGTAATTTGTACATGCACGTATGTACGTGCCGTAGCACCGCGTTTGGTTGATAGAAATAAAGAAGGGTGCGTCGTTCCTGTGCTCGCTTTTATATGTTGCTAATTACCATGCGAGTAGGTTTCTAGGTCTTTTCTTCATGGGTGCTAGAATAGGTGCGTACTTTAACAAAACGCCGTCAACATACCCTTAATACTAGGAATTGACTCCAGGAGAACGATTATCACCATATGTGGCACTGGCATGCATTTCAATGGCTGTAACAATACTCATGCAATGACAATATTCACATTCACATTCAATGTCATACCGAAATTCGATTTGTCGAATTCTTAGCGCCGCTACCAATCGCCTACATCTCATATGCTCAAAAAGAGGGAATAATCATGAGGCAGCCGCTCGCTCTCGCTATAATAAATCGAAGTCTGTTTAGTTCTTATGGAGAGGATGTACTGAAAGGCAACAAATTCTGACAGCCAGGATTTTATCCGACCCCATCGAAATCCAACGCCTCTATTATGGAGTCTATATTGATGGTCTAGTTCTGTCAAAGTCTAAGCATAGAATTGGAGCAAACACTGGTGATTTTGAGTGATTTGTTGTGGCCTGCGGGAACAGTATTGGCGTCTTCTGCTGATAACCCAGTCGTATAGCTTCCTGGGTCATGATCAGACGAAAAAGATACTAAACGAAGGTCACAAGCGAACAGTGGATCGAGTCACATCCTGACATCCGCGCTGAGGGAAATAATAAATATCGTAGAAAAGTCCGTCTGTCTGTCTGTCAAGTCTTCAACAAATCTCAAAGTAATTCCTTGAACGCAAACAATGAGATGGGTGATGGTACGACCAAAAATATAAAATGCATCAGAGGGGAGTCGAACCCCTTTCCCGGCCATATTTGAAGTGGGAAGACCGGATCATAACCGTTAGACCACTGATGCCACAGCATCGTTTGCAGATTATTCAATTATTACCTCTTTTTAAAATACACAGCTATAGTACATACCGATGTCCGAGACACTTCAATTTATCTTAGTCTATCTACTTCGTAAGAATTTGAATACTGAACCTGACTAAAAACCAGCTCGTTCCCTCCCTTCTCCACAAGATTCAACCCATTTTCATATATATATTTCACGTACTCGTCGTAATTCTTCACAAAGATATCCTCAAAAAGCTTGTTTTCGAATGGATATGCGCCAAGCTCGATATGAACTCGTTTAGATCTTGGTGAGTGCAAAGGCTGATACCGAGCGACAAGAGGGATGGATTCAGACTCGATATGAGAGAGAGAATAATCGTGCTTGGAGGCAGACTTTGGGTCGGATGTAACACCAATCGCAGGTGTCCCAGGAGAAGGTATACCCAGCAAGAACTTGGAGAACTCTGCCCAGTGGAATCGTGCGAATTGGTCCATGAATGGCACACTGTCAGCGTCATCGGAATCAAGAGGAAGTGCAGTTGTGGAGGTGGTAGCCATATCGGCCATCGCCTCGAATTCAGATAGATCAATCTCGAATCTGATTCTGATTTCTTCTAATAAGGCGGGATTTGGTACCGAAGAGATGATGTTCTGGACGGCACTGGTCGCTAGAGGGAGAAGCTCCTGGATGTTGCTCATTGAGCATCCGAGGTATATACTTTGTATGTTTAGGACGCGTAGATTGGTGCAGTCCCGGAGGTCGAACACCGGAAGGTCGCGATTTCGTAGCTCTAGCGGGAAAAACAACATGGGTTCTTCACGTAGATCATAGAAAGGTATGAAACAAACCTATGGCAATGGGGACCGGTATCAGGTGCTGTATTTCGTTGAAAGTCGATCCATATCTGGATAACATCCCATTTACCCATTGGACCTCTTCCTCATCGGGGAAGCGCACTCCTAGGATGAAGCGATCTATGGTAATCATGCTCGAATTTATCATTGAGCCGAAGAGGTTATGAGCAGCCCATGTCGAGGCTGAATGTAGAGTTTGGAAGTGGATTTTGTTGCGTCTAGTCAAAGCATTGTACGTATCGTCGATGTTCGTTGTATCGTCTCCGGAGCAAACAATGGAGCCCATTACGACCGACTGCAGTGTAGAGGGCCACATGGTGATCATTTCGACGAGCTCCGAGGCTTTCTGGAACCATATGCCGGATATTATGAATGTTTCGATGTTTAAATCAAAGAGAAGGGTTTTGAATGCATTCGGAACGTCACACCACGTATCGTCTCGCCAATGCAACGTTCGGACATTGCGGAGGTTTTTCCGGATGCGTGAAAGGTCATTGGGCAAAGTTTGGGGAAAGTGGAATCCGAAACTGACGATTAGGCGCTGGACTGCTAACCCCATGCTGCTGTAAGGGGAGTCAAGGATCCTAAGGAGTGCAGACAGGCTTCGTGAGTCCGATGACTCTCGGCCTTGACTCCAGCCAGAAGGATCAGCGAAGACTGTGACCTCTATCGAGTCGAATAAGTGAAACCTGCTCCGTAGAAGCATCCCTTTGAAGCTCAAACTGGTTGCGAGAAGAGACTTTCTGTCATCTTGTAGTTGGTCGATTATCTGCTCGACTATTTCCGGTGCTAAAATGCGGTCCATGATTGGGAGGGAATAAGGAAGAATGTCCCAGAATCCGAAATGAGGATTTATATAGCTAAACGCAATGTCCCGTAGTAGCCGCTCCAGATTGCGCGATATGCGCTAAAATAAGGGATGGTGTTTTGAATTTGGCTAATGACCGTCGTAATAATTACTAATGGCAGCCAGATTGTGGAACCTTGTGTGGAACGGGCATACGTGAGCATATACGTGCTGTTTATTGGCAGTATAATAATTCCGTCGGTTACTCCGGCACTGTGAATGAAATTAAGCACCTGCCCCGTATTCTTTGAATCACAAGCTTCCAAGTTATGCACGAGCCATCATATACAGAAGTGCGAACAGAAGCAGAAGCAGCATTCTGCATGCTCTACCCAGTTTTACCTTGATTATTTGAATACCCACCCGCCCCGTTCTCCGTCCCACGTCTCGGTATGTATTGACTTGATTTTCGGAAATTGTTCTAAATGGAAAAGGAAAACTAAACGATTCTAAACCACTACGCGAGGGTAATGTAGGTCCTGCCTCCACTCACGGTGACTGTCCCGTATCATTCTTCATGATGTTGGCAAAGGTCTGTCTAGTCGAATTCCAGGTCAAAGCATAAGCTCGACCACCAGATCCTAATGTAATGCGCTATGGTAGGCCGACATATGCGCTCGCCGGAGGAGCCGACAGAATGTTTTCCACAGAGGATACTCTATAGCCTGATGCACACTTGTCTAGTCAATGTCACGGTTGAGTTGACGTTGAACCTCGTTGAACGCGTTGACGCAAAAGTCTGCTTTGTACCGTGGCAAAATTGTTATTGCGCAGCAACGCACCTTATCTTTCAAGTCCTACATTTGAATGGAGGTATGGACGTCTTTCATCTCATCCGCAAATGCTCCTTTCAATTTATGCTTTTTGTCTCTCTAGTCTTAGCTCATCCGGACCTGAATAATTCTACCGCACCATACATTTTCAATGACCTTTACTCTCTCTTGATTCAGTGGCCGAACACCTTCCATCCGAATGGGCACACGATTATTCCTGGTGTAATCGAGCCCTATACCTTACTTTATCATGCTCGAAAAGATGCACAAACTCCTCCGCCATCTCCAGAATGGTTGGCCTTCGATCCTGAAATGAGCTACGCAGTCATGGCCACCAAGATACCGGGACCGACATACATGTACACCTACAGGACAACGAAACTTGCAAAGGTACTTTACTTCAATGGAATGTCAGCCGCTTGGGGCGAAGGATGGCTTGATACTCAGTACAGCGTACTCACTGGTAAAGGGAAGACGAATGGGTCGAGAAATAACGAAGTCAGCTTGTGGGATGATTACGGACGTGCAAAAGGACTCTGTCAGTGGGGCAAGCAAAGGGATATTGAAGGAATAGTTCGCATGAATGCCGGATTGTCTGTGCTACTTTTCATATCCCTGTCTCGACTTCCTTTAATCATTCCTTTAGCGAAATCATCTGGTGTGATTTTGAATCTTCTTCGCTGAAGCTCGTCAGTAGCTTGAACATTACGCCTCCAGGAACTCCAGAAACTCGACGTTCCTTCCCATTTCCCTCTAATGTCGACTTGAACGAGCTCCAGGTGGATGAGCTTCCTTTACAACCCCCGCGAGGTCCCGGCCGTGGGCCTGGTAGGGGACGGAGACCTGGCGGTGGTCATGGACCATGGGGTTTCGACATGGCACCCCTTGCTCGAACTGGAAATCTAGAATGGTTGCGTGCAGCTTCGCGATATCACTCGACCTTCCAACCTCATCTGTCGCTTTCCTACCACCAAATGGTCTCCTTTTACCATCCTCGTTATCATAGCTTGGTCCCCAGCCGGTCCGGGAAACTCATGCAAGAGCATTTCTTATGGGAACACGTTTCAGACGACGACGTTGGTACATTCCTGGATGAGTTAGACTCAGTCATTCGTGCTGATTTACCTGGGACTAGTTTTGACTGGCAAGCCGCAGCGATAGATACCGTGACATTTTGGGCGGATCGCATCGCACAAATTCAGAATTTACTGGAAGCTGTCAATAGTACCTCAAACTTGACCCACGTCGTCACGACTGTGCAGCAATTGTCCTACTCGCCTCTTGATCCTTTCATCGCCTATGGTGAAGCACTTAATGCTTCGGGGCATGAAATTGTATTCAATGTCCGCTCCTCTCCTACAATCGTTTTCGGTAATATAACCCCAAATACCACCGCACTTGAACGATGCACATATTCCGCCACGGAATTTCTCACCGAACCGGAGCTTCAGATCCTCATGACGAATTCAGAACACATTTTGAAGACAAGCATGGAGACTATACTTGAGCGGATCTGCAATGACTTCGGAATACTTTTTGCCGAGAGCACAGATTTGACGGACTCAGTCAGTTATCCGACGTACATATCTGCGTGGAATAGCAGGATAAATTCCTTAATGAAATGGTTGGAGTGGTCTTCGTGGCTAAGATGCGAAGAAATTTGTGATCTGGATGTGCGTGTTCAATCCTCCTCACCGTCACTGCATAACTCTGACGAGGGCTTTTTAGAGCGTATGTTCAATGCCGGTATGGCCTATTGCATGGAGCGGTGGTCCATTTGGAAGGCCCGGCAGAGATTCAGACTTCAATCTTTTGCAACCGACTTGTAGGCGATTGACTATATGATTATCTGGCATATACATAGGATCACCCGGTACTGTATATGTATGCATTCAACTCTAGAGAACTCCTCCATTGACATTAATTGATATGGCTATTATATTACTCTTCTTCTCTTCCTGCTCCGAACACCGGATATCAGCTCTCTTCCCTTGATTTCATCTACGCTTCTTTGAGCCCAATCGTCTTCTTCATCGCCATCGAATTCTAGCTGTCTCTTTCTCCGCTTCCCTGCAGATATTGACACAGACAGTTCCAGGTAGTCCCAGAAGCTTGACCGCCATGACCATGATACCACATTCTTCTTCGTAAGAGGAACTGGCGCAACTACATCAACATATTCCAGTTCGGCGTTCAAGTCATCCTCAGTTCCTGAACTGTCCTCATTCTCTTCATCCTCAAGCTCCCTTTTCAGCGAGTTCATCAGACCGCCGCACCGCTCTAGGTGTTCGAGTTTCGCCACTGTGGCGCGATATAGGCTAGGTGAAGGTATAACGTATCCCGGTGGAGGAACTAAAGGATAAAACTCGTTTTGTAGCTCGTGGATGACCTCGTCCATGGATTTGCCACTTCTCTTGGCTTCCCTCACACGATTCAGCAGTTCAGATGTGCTGGGAGGCATGTACGTTGACGAAGCGACGAAGGGAAAATTTGCCGGTGGTAGTGGTGGCGAAGTGGGACGAAAGACAGAATCAGATTCGCCAT